GGGTTGGTGCAGCTCGCGGCTCAGTTCAGCTCTGAAGTTCTCACTTTAGTCATGGAAACCCTTTGTATTGTTTGCACCGTGGATCCGGCATTCACCACGAGTGCTGAGAACAAGATCTGCCCGCTCACTATTGCCATATTCCTTAAGTACAGTAATGGTAAGATCGTTTTATAATTATTTAATTTTGTGGTCAACATCCAGTATCATTTGCCTTGTAGATTCGATTTTCTTTTCTCTTTCTGTTAGATCCAGTTGTAGCATCTTTAGCGCAAGACATCTTCAAGGAGCTTGCCCAGATTGAAGCCTGCCAAGGACCCATGCAAATGCGCCTCATTCCTACTCTCTCTAGCATTATGCAGGCACCGCCTGATAAAATCCCATCTGGCCTTTGTGCTGTAAGATAAACTCATTTTGTTCTACTTCCATTTATGAACTGTTTTCTGTAAGTAATACATATTTTTCTGTTCTTGCAGACATCCATAGATATCCTAACTACAGTTGTTCGTAACACTAAGCCCCCTCTGTCAGACATGCTTGTGTGCCAAGCATTTCCTGCGGTGGCCCAGTGCACCCTCCGCACAGATGACAACACCACAATGCAGGTAGCATCAGTTTCCTAAAAACAAAAATCTGTTGTATCTTTTCGGAGTCCTCATGTCAGTTGTTATCTAACTCGCATTGTTGCTGATTTTCCCAGAATGGCGGTGAATGCTTGAGGGCCTATGTGTCTGTGGCGCTGGAGCAGATTGCCCAGTGGCAAGATGAGCAAGGCCACAGTGGCCTGTGGTATGTCATGCAGGTTGTCAGTCAGCTCCTGGACCCTCGCACGTCTGAGTTCACCGCTGCTTTTGTAGGTCGTCTGGTGTCCACTCTCATTGCCCGAGCTGGCACACAGTTGGCTGACCAGCTGGACCAAATACTGCGTGCTATTCTCAGCAAGATGCAGCAGGCCGAGACCCTCAGTGTGATGCAGGTACGGTTGGATCGTGAACAGAATTTTGGCCCAGGTGCAGTACCCCAGTGTCTACTTAACTGATACCATTAGTGTTTTCAAACTTGGGCCTGGGGGCCACAAGCAGGGTCCAGGGGAAATTTGAGAGAACATTAAATATTAGGGCTGTCAACCTTAATTTGTTGACTTTAAATGTCAATAAATATGCTTAACAGTCATTTTAACATCATTTATGACATTCATTAAGTGTTTTGTTGTTTCTTATTGCATTTTTGAAAGAAGGCGCCCATCAAGTTTGGAATAACAGTTTTCATCGTCATGGAATACCTAGAAATAACCGGGAATTTTAAAATTCTGTTTTCCAGAACTGAAAAAGTAATGAAATGTAAAATCATGGAAATAAAAATAAAAGTCATCAGCTATTAAGCCATAAATGATTAATTCAGCAAAGTGTTCTATTGTTTCAGTTCTTTTCAATTAATTGGTCATAACCACATTTGCTAAATGGCCTGAATATTCATAAATTAATCAGCATGAAACAAAAATGGATAAATCATACCCTTTATTTGTAGATAGCATGTTAAACATTCAGTTCCTTGAAAGGAAAGGAACCAAATTAATACAGTACATTACATTTTTGGTACCATGGTACTGGGATACTGCTGAACCCGAATGCAGGTGTGGCATGAAGTAGTACCCACTTAATAAACTGCAATTTTACTTTTCAGCAAGTAATATATTTCTGCTTGTTTTTGCATATTGAACATTAATTTTCTTGCATGACAGATAATTCTGAAGCTGGCTGCACAAATGAAGTCTGAAATATGTCCTCTTTCAGTCCCTGATCATGGTTTTCGCGCACCTGGTCCATATCCAGTTGGAGCCCCTTCTGGAATTCCTATGCAGTCTTCCAGGTCCCACAGGGAAACCTGCCCTAGAGTTTGTCATGGCTGAGTGGATGAGTCGCCAACATCTGTTCTATGGCCAGTATGAAGGCAAAGTCAGGTGAGGGTTTCCAATCTAGTCTCCAGCGTGTTTAAAGGAATTGTACAGCTTGTATTGAAATAACACTGTAATCACTCTGTCCACCACAGTGCTGTCGCCTTGTGTAAACTCCTCCAGCACGGTCTCAATACAAATGACAAGCGCCTCCAAGATATAGTCGTCAAAGGAGATGAAATTTTTAATCCAGACGAGGGAATTTGTACACGTTCTAAATCGGCCAAGAGTAAGTAGATGACCTCTTAAACTGCCAAATTAATGATTAATAATTGTTATTACCTCAGATATCTGACCGATCTGTTCCTCTCAGACCCACAGCGCTGGACCAACATTCCTTTGCTGGTAAAGATCTTTAAACTCATCATCAATGAACTGTCTTCTGTGGTGGAGGCTAATGCAAATAGAGCAAATCCAGCAGATTGGAGCCAAGGTATTTATGTGGTTGGTTTAAATATTTACCCCTAGTATTAGTATTAATTTATGAAGTTGAATTGTGGTGGGCATCTTAAGTTTTGTAACTCTTGCTTTCCAGACTCTGGTGGAATGTGGGATGATCTGGCGGAGGAAGAAGATGATGATGAAGAGGAAGATGAAGGACTAGCTGGACAGCTTCTGTCTGATCTCATTGCCTCCAACAAATACGGTAAAAATTAATTTGGCCAACGTGGGCTTAAATTAGCATATTCCATTCTAATATTACATGTATGTGTTTGGCTTCATCCAAAGTGACTTGAATTGCATTTTGGTTAATGTATTTGTTTCATTTTTAGTTTTTTATAAATTTAAATTTTTTTTTTTTTTTCATTTTTGTTTAATGTAATCTTTTCATCAAACATTGTTTTTATTTCAATTAACAAAAATGTATTCAATAGTTTCAATTTTAGTTAACAATAATAACCTGTGTTGGTCAGACTTTTCCCGTTCTGTACATGCTCTGCTTTGTTAGTAAAAAACAAACAAACCAGTGAAGTGAACAATGCTTTCTATATTCTACAAATAAGCCATTGTATAACAGTTATTGTTATTTCCCCATAGACGATGATTATTATGAGGACGATGATGATGAAGATCCGGATGCTCTGAAGGATCCCATATATCAAATTGACCTTCAGGTAGGTCATTTTGTGATTCAAAACGCAGTATTTCTGTAACACAGTGTAGACCTATATCTCTTATTAATATGCTGTTAAATGATTCTAGTGTTTCTCTCTCCACAGGCTTATCTGACGGATTTCCTAACCCAGTTTGCTCAGCAGCCTTGCTATAGCATGTTTTCAAGTCACTTGAATGAAGTGGAGAGAAGAGCCTTGCAGTCCATCGGTATATGACCTGTATCCCCACCCAACATCGGCTCCTTGTCCTTTGTTTCCGTCTTTACCACTCAGTCATCTTTTCTTCAAACTTGAACATTTGAGTGGCCTCAGAATGCCTTTCGGACGACGCTCTTGATTCACAAAAGGTTTTCGTGCCTCTCCCTGTGTTTTATTAAGGGAAGGAATGGACTAGGATTGATTCCTGTGGATGTTATAAGAGAAGGGCCTGAGGAGCAGCTTCTTAGCGTACCAGACGTGACTGTGTGGGTGCATTTGAATCGAATGTCAAAACACTACTGTGCTTTGATAGACATGTCTGGTATGATGAATTAATTTTTTGCAAAGTGACTGGTGACGGTATAGGAACAATTTCAAAGTATCAATTGTCCATTTGTACCTTCTCACTTTACTAAATCACAATGGTTACAAAATCTTTCTGTAGAGGAAGGAAAACGACTTCTGGCAGATGATTAATCAATCTTTGAAAAAAGTTGGAACTGTTGGCGGCCTTATTAAAATATTCCACGTCGTTTGTCATTACGTGGTCTCATGAGCATGGTCTTTATGGCTACACACTGTTGGGTGAGCATGAAGAATTATGTGGTGTTACAATGGTGATCTTACAGTCTTATTAGCAACACTGTCTCCACTTGAGTATGAGAAAAAATTCAAAATAAAAGGCCTGTTATGGTCTAATTTTAAGTGTATTTAGTTCGAAAAGTTTTTGAAGATTTAGACATCTGTATGACAGTATTTTATTTTTTTACCGTAAAAAAAAACAACTTCAAATTATATATATTCACTCTTAAAGATATATTGCTAAAACTTAACAATAAGGTCTTATTTGTTAACATTATTTAGAGTGAACTGGCAATGAGCAATATATGTAAAGCATTTATTTATTTGTTAGTGTCAGTAGAAATATTGTTCATGTTAGTTCATAGTGCATTAACTAATGTCAACAAAAATCAAGTTGTATTACCAAATGTAAAAATTAGCATGAAGATTAATAAATGCTGTAGAAGTATTGTTCATTGTTAGTTCATGTTAACAAATCAAACCTTATTGTCATTGATAATTTTGTGTATATCGGTTGTTATTTGCCGGATGCAAAACATTTTTGTAACTGTACATTATCGTTAGGATAATTATGTTTAATTGGTTATAAACATGCAAATGGATTGTATAACTTATTCCATTACAAAGCATTGTTTTGTCAAAAACAAATCTAAAGTATCATGACATGAAGGCCAAGTATCCCTTACTCAGAAGTTAGTGCACACACATTAGGTGCAGTGAGTAGTGAAAAACGCACACTGACCCGACACACACACCCAGAGCAGTGGCATCTGGCATTGTTTTTTTTTTTTGTTTTTTAAGTTAACTCAGAAAATAAAGAGTTCATCGTAGGCCACAACGTTCATTTAAAAAATTATAAAGTTTTAATTAACATTTTTTTTAGTACAGCTAAAACCGTAGTGGCACTCAGTACTTGACATTAATTTACACATTTTAAGATTTTTTGATTTTATTTATCTGAGTCTTTTGTATATAACTTAATTTGTAACTGACAATTATGAAAATAATATATACAACTTTGAGTCAAATGATGGGAAAAAATGCTCCTGCTTATCACATTTAGAGTTTATATATACACTGCCTTTCAAAAGTTTGGGATGTGTAAAAAAAATTTTTTGAAAGAAGTCTCACACCAAGGCTGCATTTATTTGAAGAAAAAAAAGTAATATTGTGAAATATTGTAATTTTAAATAACGGTTGTCTATTTTAAAATGTAATATATTTGTGTGATAGAAAAGCAGAATATTCAGCATCATAACTCCAGTCTTTAGGATCACATGATCCTTCAGAAATCATTCAATTCATTTACAATTATTTTGAATCAAATAAATGCAGCCTTTGTGGGTATAAGAGAATTTTAAAAATCTTACTTAGTGTATATATATGGTTAAATGGGGGAAGATCAGAATTTACTTTTAAATTAATATTTTTAGATAGAAGTTTAGCTAGCATGTAGGCTTTAGGATGATAGATGACATTAGCTAGGGTGGTTGCTATAGGAAATAAATAAAAACATTTCCTAAATTAGTTATAGCATAATATATGTGTATGCATTTCATTATTATGTAACATAACACTGTTATTTTCAGAAACGATAATGTAATGTGAATAAATGTATTTATCTCCATAAGTGTGAACCGCTCAGAACTGCTACAGGATCCCACTGGCTCCATTTTCCCCAATGGAATTTCGCGTTTCTGATGCACTAGCACTACAGCACACAGCAACGGTTAATCTCCGGAATAATTATCTTCATTTTCCCGTCTTAGTTTGAATACAACGCTTCATCCCGGGGAAACGAACGTCCTTTAATTTATTTCATCTATGAGGAGGCTGGTACTGGACATTTGGCGTCGGCGACGTGTAGCGTCACGGGCGGTGTGTCATTCCACACAGATCGCATGTTGATCACGAAGCCGCTTGATTCAGAGCTTCGCTTTCTGCGAGACGTGGCAAATATTATAATTTAAAGGTTTCCAGTCTTTTTTTCAAAGAATGCAAATGTAATTATTTGTGTCTGCTATAACGGATAGTGTTCTGGAAGCAGGATGTCCTTCTACGCCGTCATTATACCGGTCCTCTATATTATTTTCTCGGCTTGGCAGGGTAAGACGATATTGTAGTTTCTTCATAGCATAGGCCTCGTTGCTGCTAATACTGTACTTGTTTTTTGTTATAAGGTATTATTTGAGTAATATAATGCTTCTTACGGACGATGATGTAATGTATATAGCTTTTATATACTGCAACTTACAAGTAACATTGCTGCTACAATGTCAATTTCTATAACAGCTCTCAAACCCCATAGATTTGCAAGTTCACATTGGGCTGCATTTGTTTTGTTCTGTGTTTTGAGTAGGTAGGTCATTCACTGCAGAACCAGTAACTGAAAGCTAATCCAAGTTGAGACCTTGAAGCAAGTGGTTAACTGACCTACATTTACAATACTGCTACTGAATGAAAACAAAGATGCAATTTCTGTAAAAAAAAATATATATATATTTTAAGATATATTGTAAGATTACATCTTGTAAAATGTTAATGTAAGAAATGACTTTCTTTACTTTAGTAATTATTTGGTTAGTTGAGTTGAGTGAGCATCTTAGAAGTTTACTAATCATAAATGAATGTGCTTCATTGATATTTCATTAATCATCCCACCTGAGCATTTAGGCTATTATCATGAAGGTTTAGTATAAATGTAGTAGTGGCCAAAAAGTGATGTCCGGTCTTAACATCTTCACCGCCTTTAAAAGAGTTTTAGAAAATTTTATAAACACGTTGTGGTTGTTGGAGTCCGTTGTTTTATTTCCAATAACTCAATGAAGCATGCCAAATTATGTGGACACTTTTAGGCCAGGCTGTCATACAAAGAAATTATGAACTCATAAAAAAAAAAGAGAGATTTTTTTTTTTTTGCCAAATAACTTTACCACTTAAACTTAACCAAGTTTAGTATTTTGTTCTTCTTCCTTCATATTTAATTATATATTTATATATAAAAGCCTGTATATTTTTGTATTATAGTAAGTGTTACCGCTTTCAATTTTGTAGGATTCGTTGTCACCTTTAGAATCTTTGTTTCCCAAAATTTTGTAGTGTTTACTATATTTATAAACACTATTTTTTTTATTATTATTACTTTCAGTGACTGCAAATGAGGACTGCTTGTGGTATGTGGACAAAAATGGCACTTGGCACAATGGCTTTGACTGCCCACTCATAACCTTCTGCTGTGGGAACTGTCACCGCCGTTACTGCTGCCTGGATGGCTTCAAGATGATCACAGAGGCGGGACAGAAGCGCTGCATGCTGTTCCATCTCAGGTACATTTTTCATGATTCTAGATTATTGACCACTTGACCACTAGTATTAAGTAGTAATGGTGTCTCAGACATCTTTTTGTTCAAACTGTTTCTTTTTGGATCTAGTCCAATTCAGTGGTTGATGGCTGACCCTCCAAAATTCGATCCTATTCACTTCCATTGTATGGGAAACTGTTAAGTTTTTTACAACATTGCTACAAATGAATATAGAATATATCTGTTGGTGTTCCATGTTTTGCACAAAAATATACATTTTGTTGCAGTACTGAATTCATTTGTTGCACTAAAACACACATCCACCTGTATAAATCATGTTTATTTTGAATTGTCCTGCCTGTACGATGTCACTTTGTTTCATCCTAAACAGAAGTTTAAATGCTTTAAATTACTATACGTGTTTACTACTTAATTATTTTAATGTCCATTGTTGTATTATTGTTTTAGCTTTTTTTTCCATTTAAATTAATAGGCTTCTGTCAGCGATTGCATTCATTTGAAATATTTTTTAAAAGTGCATGTCAAGTAATTGAAATATACTTGTGAAATCAGGCATTATGAGAACTAGCAAGTACTCCATTCACCCCATATATTATTGAACTTACATTATGTTAAGGTTTACACACACTAGTATAAAAATATCATTACATATCGCAGTCTGAACACGAAAATATAAACAAGGCTGCTCACGCAGCTGCATCTCTCTCACAGAGTTTCAAAACCGTTGAAATGACAATAGACAAGTGTATGTCATGAATTCATATTTTAGGGAGATCTGTCCGCAGAAGCAGCCATGATGAATAGCTGATCTGTACGGAGGCATCTGATGACCAAGCTAAACTGGAATTTGTGAATGTTTTTAGCCTGGAGCAATGTGTGTTTGTTTACAATGCACAACCTCTCAAGATGATCACAGTTTGGCTCGCTTTGAAAGGGTCTAAGATTGGTTGGAGTGTTCACATATGGGCATATCCATGGAGCATATTCTCTATACTGTCTCTTAGATGTTCTACCTTGGACCGAAGAGCACCCAAATTAAGCTCAAAAAGGAATTGAGCACGCCATTCATCTTGAATCTAACCAAATAACTAAACTAATTTGATTTTAAGGAAAGCTGAGCAAAAGTATGAGTGTTATAAAAGAAATGCTGATCTTAATGATGAAGATGCCAATTGCTAGACCTAAAGGCCTAACTATTTTCTATGAGTTGCTCCCAGAGAAGTCAAGATTATTCAAAATTGATGTTTGATAACACCAGTGAAGTTTTCTGTCCTGCCTCTCTCAGCCCTTCCACTATAGCTGGCATTGCTTCATCGATCCTGCTCTTTGTGGCTGCTATAGCAACTATGGTCTGTTGCTTCATGTGTTCCTGTTGTTACCTTTACCAGCGCCGCCAGCAACGTGGCAGAACTCCTTATGAAGGTAAACACAATCACTTCTTTCTCTTCGCAGTACATCCTGAATTTACTACATGTGGTATTTTATTGAAGTACATTAGCATGCGAATGAATTAAAAATACAAATAAACAAATTTTAAAATCTGTTTGGTTGCAAAGACACAAGATGGGATATGTAATGTTTAGAATGTGTTTTTTGTTTTTCTGTTTGTTAAAAGTATGTTAAAAGTAAAGCAAAATAAACTATTAGCAAATCTCAGCTGCATGATTGTTTATATCATTGCAAAATATAAACTCTAATCTGCTAAATGTGACTTATTGGATACTATATAAACATTAACATCATGATTTTCTGCAAAACTGAATTGTGAAAAGCGCTATACCAATAAATTGAGTAGATTTGACTTGATTTATTTATATTCTGATATTATTCCTGGTCTGGTATTGAATGGCGTACCCTCATTTAACATCCTTCTGTGTACCCCGTCTCTTCCACTAAGGTAGCTGCATTTTGATAATATACTGTATGCCCCCTTAAATTGATTTAATTGATTGGTAATCATTGGTAATTACAGTTCTCCTGTGGCTTTCATTGGAACTATTTTTTTCATTGCAAAATGGAGCAAACTGACAATACTGTGTTTAAAATGTACATCACATATTTGGGAAAAAATTGCATAGTATATTACTAAGATTAAAAACGAGAACTCACTCAGGGTATGTTTTTGTATCGAAGAGAGTTTGAGTCTTAAATCATTCTCTTTGCACATTCTGCGTCGCTATTTGTTTATGGTAGTAAGTGCTAAATCGCCACTTTTACAAAGGTGTATTGTAGAGAACGGCAATAATGTTGCCCGATTTGCTAAGGCAGCATACTCTGCATGCAACCTATCATGTGCACACTGCTTGTGTTGATGCAGTCAGTTTTGACCGCAAGAGATGAGGTAATTTGATTGGATGTCATGTATTTGACCTTTTATGGCATTTGCCTGAAATACATGCTTGGATTTAATGTTATTTTAAGGTGGAGTAGAATTAAATGAACAGCAAAACTCACTGTGGTATTGCATTGTGCTCTTCATTAGTTCTATGTATTTAACCATCTGCTTCTTATTGGAATACTCTTATTACTCCTGAATAAATTTGCTAATTTGGCTAATTTTCAAAATGCTTGCTTATGAAGAATAAAAGTCATCATTTCCTAACATTAGTCTCAATTTCAGCCCAGCACATTCCAATGGCCAGCTATCCTGTTGAGCATATGTACGACGCTTATGGTAAACCCATTGGACATCCTGATTATCCTGGATTTCCAATGGTACCACAGTATCCAGGTGTTCCTCACCAATATCCCATGATGCACCATGGCCCTTATCCTCCTAATCCTCCTGATGCAGGATACAGTCAAGCAGGTATTCGCATGGCATCTGTCAGAGATCGCATACTTAGCTCTTAATTAAAGTCACCAAGTGACACTTCTGTTTTTTTTAAGGAATATTGCAGTATTTATTAAAAATCATTTATCCATGTACATCATCATGTCATGTGCCCTCATGAACTTTTATTAAAATAACTTCTGTACTTTGCAACTACGTCTCTTCTCTGATGATGTGTTTACTGGAATGAGGGTGGGACAAAATAGCGAACCAAAATGATTCATTCAATTCCTGATTCTGTTCCGTTTCATGCCAACGTTAAAAATAAAGGTTCCAAAAAAAGAAGAAACATTTTTGGTTCTCCAAAAATCCTTTGAGTGAAATGTTTCTTAAAATAACCAGAAAATATTTGCACTTTAATGGACCTTTTGTGCAATGGAAAGGTACCATGGATGTTAAAGTTCTTTTTAAGAGTGTGCAGTGGCAATAAAAACACCACATTTGTATATAATAGCAGACCGAAACAGAAAGCTTTTTCGCTGAACTGTGTTATTGTTGTGTTTTCAGCTCCTCCACCATACTCCCCTCCCCAATACCCAGGGCACTGAAAGAGCTGGAGTCCCTCAGCGAGAAGAAGATAACCCATACAACGGGTGATGAAGAGGGCCCATGCTTGTTTGGAATCCCTTGTATGAGAAGCGGTTTTAAAAAAATGATTTATGTTATTTATTTCTTGATTAGTTTGTGGAGTGAAGCATGAACTGACTTCGGAATCGCCTCATGCCGTCGGAGTGTTTTCTTGTTTGATGTACAGCTTTCACGTTTCACTAATCAACAAGACTCTTCCCACTTAAATCCAGCAACTCGGTGAGCTAAAAGACTGCTTTAAATTTGCCATTATATTTTGTTCAAACTCTCTGAAATGGACCGTGAAATATGACTGTCCTGCAGAAGAGACTGGCTGACAGTTCTGACTTATCCGGGATATAATTCTCTGTTCCGCCAAATAAGAAGCAGCGTGTGACATTTGCACTTTATTCTGCAATCGACATGCTTAGCTGTCTCTCCCTGCTTGTTTGTTCAAAATGGATTTATTTTACCGCTAATCTGAGCATGTCATCATGTGCATCAACACCAAATCATGCTGTACGCTTTTCATGTCTTGTAGACAGTTAACATGCGGACATGAGACATAGATGTCTTATAGACAGTTAACATAGAGTATGTAAATAAGAAAGAACTTACATTAAGAATTTCATGTTTCATACCGTCCTCACAACCGGCCAAAACTTCATTCTGCACATTTGTTGTTCGTCAACTGTTTGAGGTTGAGCTGTGATGTTAACGGCTCTTAGAATTGCATGTCTTTTATTGTATCTTGCTTCCCGGGCCAGTTGTCAAAGAAATCACAGCAATGTTTGCATTCAGTTAGTTTATTTCAGTCTTGTTTCAAAAAGGTTTTTTGTAAAAGATTTCACATTCATTTATGTTGTTTTGTTACATTCTCACAGTGAGGTACGTTGAAGTCCCTTCAAGGCAAATGCCCACATGCCGTTTTTTCCAGCCATGTACAGCTCCTATTTACTTGAAAAGGGAAATACTGAAATCTGTTTGACGAAATTACTTTCATTAAGTTCACGCCAAGAAGAAATGAATAAATAAATACAAATTTTCACACCCTTTCCCATTGGCTCTTTTAAATGTAAAGGTGCTGTCAAATTTACCGTTGTTCAGCAAATTTGAATGGGAATCCATACGATTATGAATTTTCTCACATTGTGCACTGACCAACAGTCTGCTTCATACATCGCTACATTATTAACAATATAACTTTTTGGGGTGTTTTTCCCCCATATATATTAGCACGAGTGGATATCTCTGCCTGAATTGTTTTAAAAGTTCATCACAAGTTAAACTTCTCACGGGTAGATTATAATGTAAATAAAAAGAATTAGACATCTCATTAATTGTCAGCTACATTTGCGGTGCGATTTGTTTTGACTTTAAATGATTTCTGCTACCTCCTCATCTCACATCTGTAAGATAAGTTTTGATGCTTAGTCCACTGTTTAAATAATGTGTTAGTTATTTAAAATAATGTATATTTAACAGTGTTGTTTTTTGTTATATACAACATATGCTACTGTATCTGTCACTCTGGAATGTGAAGTACAAATAAGAAAAGGAACTATAAAAAGACATTTTTACAACATGTAACATTAACCCAGGTATTTTAAACCTGGGGGCGAGGCAATTAATAGGCTACAAGTGTTTAAACTTGCACTAATCATCCTATAAGAGAGGTCTAATTGAACAGACTGGAAAAGTAATATTGCATAATTCTCTTTTTACAATAAAAACAGACTTGACTTTGCTGTCTCCATTACTGCTGTATCTGAAATCAATGAACTATATCAACAGATGTAAATAAACACTGCTGCGATTATCCTACTCTTTTAGACAGCACCAGAGCCCATCGAAGTCCCAGAGCCACAGAGAGCCAAGTCTGACCAGGTGCATGAGCCGCCAATAACATCCCTCATGGAGATTCCCCCTGAAGCCACATTCACCCCGGAGTCCCAAGTTATGGAGTTTGACCAGGTGTGAGGGCCAGCAGTGATATCTATACCAGTGGGCATATTAATAGAGTAAGAAGGAACGGAGTGGAGCCCAGGCAGAGATGTGTGTGCAGCAGAGTACATCCCTGGGCTAGAGGTCCAGTGGCACCGTAAACCGGCTCTAAATCTCTTCCATCTCAGATAGGGGTATTACATTATTTTATTTTTTATTCTAAACTGCTTTAATTATTCTTATTTATTTTGATTATTTTTGCCTTATATGTAAAGCACATTGAATTACCATTGTGTATGAATTGTACTACATAAATAAACTTGCCTTGCCTTACTCGGACCCTATTGTCCAAATCTTTTTCGTCACACAGCACCAATTCTGCATTGTTGCTGATACTACCACCTCCTCTACCTATGAGGTTCTAGTTATTTGGTCCTGGTTACCTTCATCCATTTGGCTCCTTCTTCCCTAGCAGCTCAGATCTCCCTGAAGCCTCAAAGCCCCGACTCCACCTCATCCTGTCGACCCACTGGCCCCTCACCATGGCTACACACTAGCTCAGCTCCACTGTGACCCCTCCTCCCTCCCACCCAGGTTGTGCCACGGACTTTCGGTTTCTTCCTTCCCACCTTCTCCACCGTTGTCTTCGCTCTTTCCGGCTTTGCTGAGTCCCCGCCTTCACCTTGGCCCTCCAGTCCATCGGTGTCCTTCATCTCCTTGGCTTAGCCAGGGTTTTTATCACCCTCGTCTCCACCTCATTCTGTTGGGCTCCTGGCTACACCCTGGCTCCTCCCTCTTTCATTTCCACCGTGGGCCTGCATCCTGCGTGGGCTCTGTTTGGAGTCACTTCCCTGGCTTCTCCCACCGTAACACCCTCCCTAACTCATCCCTTGCCATCTCCTCCCTCATCATTGGAGGTCCCTTCTGCCTACTCCTCATCCTCCTTCTTCCTCTGTTGGACTTAGTTTTTTAAGTTTGAGTTGTTTTTTCATTGTTTCCTGTTCTGTTTCCTTTGTTTGCATTTGTTTCCATGGTTAATCATTGTTTGATTAATGAACCGAAACCTATTTCTCGTTTCTTTCATTGGTTTAGTATATTGAGCCTGTTTTCAGTTAGTATCTGTTCCGCTCTTATCTGTATCAGGGGGGTAGAATTTAGTAGGGGCGCTATAGGGACGTGTCCCTATTCAGTGACACTGGTATATCCCTAGCAATAATTTCGAACAAAACTTAAAATATATGTATATATTGATGTCCCCGTCCCCATCAAAATCAAACCACTGATCTGTATACAATGGTTATGTTTGTGTTCTTTAGATCCAGGGGTATCCTAAGTATTTGGTCGTTTTGAGTTTGTAATAAACACTGCTGCTATTAGATCCTGCTCTTTTGTTTCTCTGCTGCAAGCATTGGTGACAGATTTGTGGTCTTGGCTTACGATTTGCTTCTATTAAGCTGAAGCATAATCATTTCAAATTTATGAATAGCCTATATTCTATTAAACTGATTCCTGGAATAGCACAGCAGCCTATTATAGTATCCAACCTATTTCTATAACATTCTTTAACATCACTGGAAAAAAAAATTCAGTAGCCTACTCCAGGAATCCTGATTTCCTATCAGGAAGTAACAGTATGTTTCTGGGATGCTTTTGAGTTTTAGTAAACCATATCCTTCCCAATTGCCTTTAAAGGACTATGTACCCCCATCTAAATATGGTCATGTGCTCGATGGATTTCAAGGAATGTCCTAGCACTACAAACTTACGCTGACAGTCTATTGCGTCTCGCGCTGCTCCTCGCGTTTCTTTCACACATCTAGAAAGGGTTCCATTTGACTCCTTTTCTCGTTTTTCATCTTCACTTTCTAATCTGACAGCACTATTAATTAATGATTTTTTTCAAAAGGTAAAATAACTGAAAAAATACACAGATATCTTCAGGAAATTCTACACAAGTTTTTGTCATTATTGAACGCAACTATGTCCCGGAGGAAAGTGAGGGGGCTCACAAAAACTGGGCGACAGGTGAGTGAGGACCCGGACCTTGACACCTTGCTGTCAAACCTGTCACCCGAAGAAATGGAAGAGCTGCAGAAAGAGGTATCTGTTGTTCCCGATCCAGATCCGAGTGAAATACTCGTTGTGGACCAAACGGATTTAAAACCAACGGCGCCAGTTATAAGGGAATCACTATTGAGCAGCCAGAACGATGATTTCAAACCCCGCTTCCAGAGAAACCTGTCAACAGAGGTAAAAATTCTCACTAGCTAGCCTACCTTAAAAGTTTGTCTATGAAAATTTGAACGCTGGAGTTTAACCTGACATGCTTAGTAGGACCCTGAAGACATTACAGAATAAATTAATAAAAGTAGGCTAATGTGGCTTAACAGATGTTTTGTACGTAGATGTATTTGTATCATTTTATAACTCTTGCATAATGTCCACCTTATTTTGTATAACTTTTACAAATTAGACTTGTACAAACTTTAACTGTAAAAGGCAGTGTTTACTTTTTTACTTTTTTAAATTTAAATACATAATACAAGCAGGAGAAATGTATCCAATACGAGTCTCTTTGGATGTTAAAGTCTCTTGAAATGTTGGCCCAGTTGAAGTTCCTTGGTCGATTGCTCCTTTGCTCACTGCCTTTTAAGGATAAGTCTGCCAAGGCTGGAGCTTTCCAGTGAAAAAGGGCAGCTCACAAATCAAACACTCAGCCACTGTGCAAGTTTACATCTTCTTCACTGTGAAACAACCGACTTTATAGTGTAAACATCCAATGTGCATGCACTACAGGTTTATATAACCATCTGTGTCAAAGCAGGGACTTTAGTTGAACGTTTTCATGTTTTAATGTAGGCCTAAGCCACTGTTTTTCCTACAGTTGGTTCCCCCAAAATAAAAATATACATTTTATTGTATTCGTCGCCATTATTTGTCCATAATTTCTACATATTTGATCCTCAGGGAGAGCCGAAGAAGGAGAGCCGGAAGCAAGAGTACCTGCGTAAGATGGGGCTGAGCCAAGAGAAGAATACCACGTCTGACAGCAGAGATGGAGGACTTCAGAGTACTCCCTCCACCTCTTCCTTCCCTAAATGTGATGACAGAATGGAGGACAGGACCCACGGAGTCACAAAGGGCACCAAAGATGACAAATCTGTCCTTTCCAAAAAGAATGAGGAGAGTGAGAGAAAAGTAGAGGCGAAAGAACAAAATGATGGGAGTAACCTCAAAGACAGAAGAGAGATGAGAGAAAGTAGCAGCAGCAAAACAAAAGAATTAATTTCTAAACTTCAGGAAAAAAAGGAGGATAGTAAAGAGAAAAATAAAAAGGAAGACAGTCATAAAAGGGAATCTGGGGAAAGAAGAGCAAAGGAAATGATTTCTAGGATAAAGGAGAAAGAGGAGAAGGAAAGAGAGAGAAAGGAAGAGATTAGGAAGAGAGAGGAGAACAAGACTAAAGGCTATCCGTCCAGGTTAGAGGAAAAGCAAAATCAGGTTCTAGAAGACGAAACAAAAGAAAAGGACAAAGATGAAAAACTAATAAGAAGGTCAAGTGAGAAGTCGAAAGAGGGCCCCACGTTGGAATTGAGGGGACTTGCTGAAAATGAAGAGGAAGAACCTGAAAAGAAGGATGAAAATGTAATAAAGCTGCAGGAATATAATGCAAAAGCAAGTGATAAGGAAAGAGAGGATGTTCAGAAACAAAATGAAATCATAAATGAAATTCATGAGCCCATCAAGCAAGTGAACATTGAAAACTGTGTCTCAGACACCATTTCAAAAAGTAAGACCAAAGAGGAGGAAGAGGAAGATGAGTCAGCCAGCATGTTTGATGAAGACCTTGAGAAAGTTCGTCGCAACGATCCGGCCATGGCTGATCTCAATGTGAACAATTCTGAGGTCATAAAAACCAAAACGCTTATTCAGTTCGCCGAGGCCTTGAAAAACAACACTCACATCAAAGCGTTTTCTTTGGCTAACTGCCGCGCTGATGACCATGTGGCTTATACTATTGCAGAGACCTTACGCATTAACAAAAGCATCACTAGCATCAATTTGGACTCCAATCTACTTACTAGCAAAGGCATCATGGCCTTGATCCATGCCCTCCAGCACAACGCCACACTCACTGAGCTACGCTTCCACAACCAGCGACACATCATCGGAGGAAAGTCTGAGATGGAAATGACCAAAATCTTAAAAGAAAACACAACTCTTCTGAAACTAGGCTACCACTTTGAGTTAGCTGGTCCTCGTATGACCATGACCAGTATTCTAAGTCGCAATATGGACCGTCAGCGACAAAAGCGGTTGCAGGAACAGAAGCAGGCTCAAGCCCAAGGTGCTGGAGACAAGAAAGACTCATTAGAAGTTCCCAAACCCGGCTTTGGTAAGGGCTCCCCGAGAGCCTCGCCCAGGCCGTCTCCTATACCTTCTCCCATACCGTCACCGGCCCCATCGCCCAAGTTGACTAATAAGAAAAGGGTCAGTGGGCTGGGTGGTGGACCACCTCCGCCACCACCACCGCCTGGAGGACCGCCTCCACCTCCGATGCTAGACGGAGACTTCCTGAAGAACTCCCTAACGCCCGTGTCACAGAGGAAGCTTGATGATAGGAGTGGAGGAAGAGGAGGAGCTCAAAATACAAGGGACCAACTTCTAGCTTCCATTAGAGGCAGCAATATCAAAAAGCTCAAAAAGGTATAAAATAGTTGATTTAAAAAAAAAACAGATAGGCCTATATTTTATCAAATTAAATGATATGTATATATCTATACTTTCCTGTATCGGTGTTTCCAATGTATCGGCCTCATATTCAGAGGTTTTCATGTTTTCCCTGAGAGAGTTTGAACTCACATTGAATTGTTTTTCACAGGTTGCAAAACCAAAGCTCTTGCAGTAAGCCGGCAGTGCAGAGAGATAAACCTGAATGAAGAAAAAAGACAGGAATGAAAGGACAGACATCTCACAGACCTTGAGAAGATCAACACTCAGAATCTTCCATACAGAGTCTTTACTGCTGCCCTACAGTATGGAAGACAGGTATAGGTTTGTATAGATGGTGATTATTCCACTGAATGCACAGCTTCTGCCCAGGAGTCTTTGTACAAAAATACACTGGACGATTTAAAGAAACGGAAGTGTGGTGTAGTCATGGGTTCTTAGAGGCTTCGATGGCCTATGAAACTGCAGAGAACTTGATGCCTTGCTTGTCATTTGCACTAAATGAATCATTTCATATGATAGATTTCCTAGTGTGTGTTTGGTACAGTATGTATGTGGATGTTGAGTAGCCTAGATGTTTGTTTTTCGGCAGTAAAATTGGATCATCTAACATCTGACTGAATTGAACTATATGTAAGAAATAAAACAATTACCTGGATTTTATCCTAGTATTTTGGGTTTGGGAATCTCTATAGTAAAAGATTTTGCTGATCAGAGATTAAAGGTGGGATTCTAATCACATAAAACAGGTGTTGTTTCCATGGTACAGATTCTTCAATAGGCTATCTTATATTTTGAATGAGTGTGTGTGAACGAGAACAGAATTACAGCTTTTAGGAGAAAGGGATGATAATCGGATCTATGTGAAAATGGCTGCGTAAACATACAAACTACAAAACATATTTTTGTTATCTGAACTTTTCTTAAAATGTATGTAATCCATTGAGTATATATAAATTTTAAACACTGTTAAGTGTAGTTTTTTTAATATTCATCTGTAATTTATCGAACAACATTAAAAAAATATAGAGATTTTAATTTGGGAATGTAAGCATTCTCTTTTATGCTCATTGAAAATAAGTTGTGTCAAATAAAATGATTCTTATATCAGGTTTCAGCTGTGACAATCCAGTAATTCCATTTGTGTTATATCGAAAATTTGAAATGTTTTTGGAGAAATCTGCATGATAAAGATGATTGGTCCAACAAAAACACCTGGGTCATGTGATTTTAATTGATTATTTTCAGGTCATTGTCAGAATAGTTTCACTGTTGTTTTAGTATTCATTTTAATTTTAGTTGTTATTTTTATGTCCTCTGCCATTTTTATTATTATTTATTTTTATTTCAATTTTACTTTTAGTAATAATTGGAACTGCAACTTATTTTATAAATTTAAACTTTTCATCTATGATCCAGTCTTTATATTTTATTTTATTTCAGTCTTTTTTTTAATTACTAAGAATAATTATTAATAGCTTTAGTTTTAGTTGAAATAAAAACACAAAACTCAAAGGCATACTTCCCCTTTAGTGAGTTTGTCTTCAGATCTTCATCATATCTTCTTTTATGCTCCACATAAGAAAGTCATACAGTTTTGAAAGGACATGATGATAAATGATGATAGAATTTTCTTGGATGAACTATTCATAACTATCAACATTGTAAGAGTCACATAAACTAATGCAATACTAAGTAACTCGCAATACTAAACATTATGTAATACTAATCTTTTAATTTACTCCAATCTAACCTTCTGAGTTATTTTGTGGGATATGAAAATGCTGTAAAGCTTTAAAGTCCAGTTCAGTGCCATAGATAGGATGAATGGTTCTAGTGTTAGTGAGTAGCTCTTCACATGATCATGGCTGTATAGCGCGCTTCCAGAGCTACAATGAGTTCCTTGGGCATGAAAAAAAAAAAAAAAACAGTGATCTAATGCATTGTTGCTAATGCCACGTAATTCTGCTTAGCTCATTTGGTCACTCGAATAAAGAACTATACATGAAGGCAATGTAAGACAGCGAGAAACAAAAGACCACACCACTTGTGATGTAAAATTACAAATTACATTCAACCAAGTCACAGGTTTAAAGCTTAAAAGCTTTTCCCTCTTTTCTTAGGGAATTAGAATCTTCAGATCAGTGGCAGTTGCTTATTGCAATGCATATATATAAGGTTATGGTATACAGAAATCACCACTGAGCTAGAGGTAGGCCTACTCAACAGTCTGTTGTTCATCTTTTTCAGAGCTCTTCAGAAATGTTCTTCTGAAACTGGAGTCTGAAAGTTGATTGGAAACGAAGCAAGCTTGTTTATATTTTGATTGCCCCTGACTAACCCTCAGGACTGCTGAAATGTCTATATTTGGTCAATTCTCAATGCAGGCTTAGACTGCATCTCATTCCTTTCCCCCTTCCTAATAATGGAAACATAGCCAACCACGTGTCAGACTCAGAGCAATAACATAGAGAGGCGACATGAAAGAGAGAGAGATCTTTGAATTATGTTTTACCGCAGAGTCATCAATTAACTTAATGCAGCCTCATAGCCAAAGTCTAAAAGCTTGATAAAATGGGTTGAACCTGACATGGTCCGCCATACTTTTTATTTGTGTCTTTTTTCTGTTACCTTTGACCCTGAGAAACAATATAGATTCCGGGAGATTTGAACTAATTTGCGGCCATCAGGGAGGCGCTATCAATATGCTGGAGACTTGGGATGTCTGTTACTTCATTGGCAATCAGCTATTCCCCTAAGTTATGACATCAGTCAATATTCAACTATTTTCACCACACACTATACTCATTCCACAGAAATACACTAAAATAGCCACAATTTATTTTTTTAATATAATATAATATAATATAATTTTTAATTTAATATAATCCATTATTGTCTATGGTGGACGAAATTGTGCGTTCGTGTGACCTCTGCATATTCCATAGACAGTAAAAATACTGCCACTAGAGGGACCTCTAGCAATTCAACGATCACAAAGAAAAAGACAGCAAAGGACCCAGTAGAATAACCTTACGTCACTCACTGCAACACCACGTGTGTTGTTACGTCAGTGGGAAGAGGAAAAGAACAAAATGGAGGAGTACGCGAGGGAGCCTTGGTGAGCAGACAGTTCAAATAACTTTTTTCTTTTATACAATTAGAACATTTATATTTGTTGTTATTACAGTTAAAATGTTCTTTATTATTAATACTGTCTGATTTACTGTCAGACTGTTTGACGCTCGAATTGTAGTGATATGGTCGGTTAACTGCATGTTAGTTAACACGATGTCCTTCAGTAAAGGCTTCTTGTTGTCAGTCGCTCACATGACCTTGTTCTACCGGTGATCGTTTGATTTTGTTTCTACATTATTTTTTAATACTAATAATATGTATATTGTTTGAATGTTTAATCTAAACTACTACACATAATATATAATAGGCTATAATTTCTATTAACAGTACAGTCAGTAGGATCTGTAACGTTAGATAACCTAGCTATCAATACGACGTGAAAGCATACTAACAACATTAGAAATGTTTCATATTTATATAACATAACTTTTTCCGTTTTCTTTTTCTTTTATTGGGCGACATTATGTTCTAATGATGGCACTTTGAAATAAAGTCTAACCTAAAGGTGCATTAAAATAATTTGAGACCATTTTTAAAAAATGTTTACCAGAGTTAACCTTTTTTAAAATATGTTTACCAGAGTTAACCTTTTACAAGGTTTTTTAGTAGCAGATATGATCTTTTATGCGCTATTAGTGTTCTCATAATCATACTGTTGTTGTTTCTCAGCCCCTGGAGGATAGTGGACGACTGTGGGGGTGCTTTCACCATGGGGGCAATAGGTGGAGGGATTTTCCAGGCTGTCAAAGGCTTTAGAAACTCTCCCTCTGTGAGTAATTCTCTGTGCTGCTGATAAAGCAGTGTTGTTTTACCTAAAGTTAAGGGCCTGTTGTACTTTTGGGCCCAAATGTTAAAATGTCCTTGGTGTTTTTGTTTTTCATTTTTTTAGGGAATGAATCACAGAATGAGGGGTAGCTTGACCGCCATAAAGACCAGAGCTCCACAACTAGGAGGTAATGTTTAAGGGTGCAAAGGCTGTTTGTCATATGTAATCCGAGTGAGACACTATAGTTCTTTTTTTTTTTTTGAATGACTGAAGTGTCTTATGCTCAGCAAGTCTGCATTTATTTGATCGGAAGTATTAATATTGTGAGATGTTATTTTTTCAGCAGCTATTACTTCAGACTTTAGCAGCACATGATCTTTCAGAAATCATTCTGATAGCTGATTTAAAAAGTTTGTTCAAATTAAAGAGCTTGTTGACCTAAAAATTTAAGTTCTTTAATAATTTCCTCACCCAGGTTTCATACCTGTAAGACTTTAATTCATCTTCGGAACACAAATGATATTTTGGATATTTTGGAGTAATTTCTGTACTCCTTTGACAGTTATGCAACTATTTTGACGCTTAAAAAAGTTAATAAAGAGATTGTACAACTAATTCATATGAATTTATAGGTTTAGTCCTAATTTTCTGAAGAGACTCAATCGCTTTTTATGATGAATAGATTAAATTTAGACTTTTTTTTATTACATAAACATTGATCAGCGAACATAAACATAAGCTCAACCGAACTTTCTTGATGCGTGACAACAAACCTCATTGGTTCTTGCGTAAGCTCAAACATGCTGCGTATCACCAGAATGAAGCTCATTGGTTCTCGCACATCAAGCAAACATGCTTGAGTTTCTGTTTATCACAACTGATGTGTGAGTAGATGAATGTTTAAATGTGATTAAAAGCCTCAATTTAAATCATTATATAATGCGATCGTGTGTCTTCAGAAAATTTGGACGAATCTCTTTATGAACTTTTTGAAGTGTCCAAGTGGTTGTTTTAGTTGGAAATTGTGTGATGTAGACAATGTAATTGGCTAATAATTCATGTATTTACTTTGAAAGATATTGCAAAATACAAATTTGTGTTTATTATTAGGAAGCTTTGCGGTTTGGGGTGGCCTCTTCTCCATGATTGATTGTGGGCTGGTGAAGGTGAGGGGTAAAGAAGACCCCTGGAACTCAATTACAAGTGGGGCCATGACAGGAGCCATTTTAGCTGCAAGAAGTAAGTCAAATCTCAAACTAATGTAGATAATGATGTGGTCACATTTATGCATGTTCTACTTCCTTTCCAGTTTATGAATATTTCAAGTGCATTCTCTTAATATTCTTCTTTTTATATTTATTTATTTTAAGATGACTTGTGTTTATTTGTGTGATATTAATTTCTTGACTCATCACAGATGGACCCGTGGCCATGTTTGGCTCTGCTGCAATGGGAGGTATACTACTTGCATTAATAGAAGGTGCAGGAATTCTGCTCACAAGGTTCGCCTCAGCACAATTCCCAACTGGTAAGTGTGGCAAGTCATCCTTTGAGACTGAATACAACTTTTTTTTTTAATGTAAAAATTAATAAATAAATTCAAATCAACCAACATAATCTTTTCTCTACAGGCCCACAGTTTGCAGAAGAGCCTGCTCCCATGCCTGCTTCGTCATTCGGAGACTATAGACAGTACCAATGAAAAGCCCTTTAAAACTCAAGGCCTTTTCTATTCCATGAACTGAACTGAGACACTGAAGTTACAGTGAGGACCTCATTCATCAACAGAGCATGCCATCAACCATGAATGACAGTGACAAAAAGAATATAAAGGGCAAACACTATTGTCCCTGTTATTGTGAAAGCTTTTTGCTATTCTCAGCCTTGTCATTGGCCTCTATTTAAGTTGTAAGGAAATCAAACTCAGACCTGTTTTTTTTCATCCATATTTTCTGTGTTTTTGTTTTCTGTGACCTCATTTTGTCCCTTACACAGCTGGACAGGTTTGATGAAGCTATAGGTATACTGTTTGTCATGCTAGGTTTTTCATGTGGAGCCCTAATCAGTTTGGTTTTGTGTGTGTGTGTGTGTGTGTGCGTGTGCGTGCGTGCGTGCGTGCGTGCAAGCATCAGAGAGTTTAATACATGCCCGTGTATTGATTGTTTGCCTTAATTTAAAATTTTCATGGGCCAATATCATAGTGGGGATTTTTATTGACCGGTTTATGCCAAACCTTCCCTTGCAAAACTTGTTCCTTCACAGTTTACTATTTGATGTAGTTATTTATTTTCTAGTACAACTTCCTAATTTCTAGATGTTATATTATATTGTACTTTACGGATTTCTCTACAGTGAATATTGGTTTAGTTCAAATGCAGCAGAGAAAAAGGTGATGAATGGACACAGTTGTCTCTTCTGTTGGATTATGAACAAATTTAGGCTGAGAAACAGTAAATAAACTAGTTATTACTCTATGAAAAGCACATATGTTTTATTAAGTGTATAATTTACCATATTATTTTAATAAGGTAATTACTTGTCTAAAATTAGACTTCCATTTCAGAGGTAATCCATTGAGGAAAGTATTAAAATAAGTAAGTTAGTAATATTGGCCACTAGATGGAAGTACAGACCCATAGCATGTGTCGAGTTGAAATTTTGATTTAACTTTAAATGTGTACAAATATGCCGATACGGAGACAAAAATATGATGCATTAGTCAAATACATTGGTTGAAATTTAATTTTCCTTGAGATTTTGAAAAGAAAAGAAGAAAAAACAACAACAATTGAATCAAAATTGCAAAAGCAACTTTCAGACGTCGGGTTAATATTTCATGACGTTTTTAGCGTGTTCAGACAGTTGACATAAAAATCGTGACCTGTAAATTGCTATAATCTATTCTAAATGGTTTTAGTCAAGAAAGAATATGTTTCAGTGTTGGGAGTAAATCAATGTAGAAAAATTGTGAATCATAATATTTTGTGATCAATTTATATTTGTATGCTAAAAGTTAATTTTGCCAATTTTTAGATTCACTTCAAATACAGATATGGTGTATTAGTATATTAAATGTGCAATGGCTGTTATTCATTGGACAAGGCTTTGAGCAATAATTTTTCCCGTGTGGAAGTTGCTCACGGCGAACAAATGGGTGGGGCTTACGTCTCGCTCGCCCTCGCTAGACGTCCAGCGAGGAGGAGTGATTATCTCATTATACGTCTATAGAGGAGGAGCTGGATGTTATTTGACTCTGCAGTACTACTTGCTTCTTCCGAAACGGCGATAAACGTGATTGACAGCGCTCGTGATTTAAAAACACAGTTGGCGTTGTTGCACACGGAGGCCGTTGGAGCGGGTACGCGGTTAAGTGCATGTCTGTTGTGGCTTGTGAGCCATTTTATGTGACGGTAATAGGTTCTTGATATAACTTATATTTATGAGTTTCGTAGGTTACACCTGTTCTTCCCTATTTTTTTACATGTTGTTGGCTACTCGCCACTGGTTCAGAATTATTATTATGTTTGTATAGGCTATAAAAATAGGCCTATAAATATTAAATATTTATAGCATTATAATGACGCAACTAGGAGCAACGTTAGTTTGGAGGGGGAGATAGAGTTCCGGAATGACCAATATTTTAGTTTTGTTTAACACCAAGGCAGGTGTTACATTTATGGAATATATTGATTTTAAAAGAGAGAATATTTATTAAAATAGGGAGGTAATTATATTTTTGATTGAAGATATTGTGTTTCATGTCATTCCGTTTTCACTGGTGTCTTTTCAGCCTTGTTGGTTGATATTCTTTTTTTCTTTGACCTTTTGCCTCAGCATTCAAAAGTCCAAGGGTTTGGCTTGACTTTTGCAATTCGGTTTTATTTTCGCTGTTAACCTTCTCATTCAGTAAAAGCATGCATGTCTCTCATAAAAAGCCCTGGTGCTTCACTCCACACTGCTTCGTCCTGCTTGCACGTTTGTTTGGAGAGCAACAACCGAAGGAAGGTCAACTTGTGGTACAAACAACTCATTAATAATTTAAGGCAGTGAACATGACTGGTTGCTAATTCCTAAAAAGTGCTGTGATTATTAATTCAGGGCTTTTGAAGGCACTGTGGGAGCGTAGCATTCTTGATTGTATACAAGAGCAGTGAACAAGCTCTGGCCAGGCACTCAAGATGTTTGGTGAAAGACTCCAAATCTTTCTCTGTTGCTGAAGATGTGGTGTGTCTGAATGAGAAATAGGGGATGCATGTGGAATTTTAAATTATAAGTGAATGCTTAGAGAATGATGTGTAGATGCTAATGCAACAATCCTAGTCCTATCTATTTGACTGTGATAATCATTGCAAAGTAACAGGCTATCAAAGTGACTTTAAATTAGATGTTCTCTCACTTGAGGCCTTAAGCTTTACTGGCAGATACACACTAACTAGCTCTTGTTATTTCCTGACCTGCATATCACTGTTTTAAACTGAATTAAGTGGTTATGTATAAATTAAGAGAACCGTTACTGCCCCTTGACTATTGTAAAAAAAAAAAAAAAAAAAAAAAAGTTTTCAGTCTAGTTTTGAAGGATATATTATAATAGCGTTCTGTGTCTCTTTAATTACTATTTTCTAATTCAGTAACCTATGTGTAGTTTATTGTCAGCCTTTGTAACTTTTCTTCTATAATAATAATGGTAGTAGTAAAACTAAAATGAGGAAATATTATAATTTGGTGTGTGTACAATTTGTACACAAACAATTGTACAAAAAAGTGTAACAAAGTCCCAAAAATGCTGTCATTACCACCATGCCAATAATTTCACAGAACAATTCAGTTTTTTTTGAAAAACATATAACTAAACTAAACATATAACTAAATATATTTAGTTATGCTATTTGCATTCAGAAACATGTAACTTCCTCCTGAAGTCCTCCAAAGTGATGCATCATCCATATATAATTTTTGCCCATTAATAATAATCAGAAACATCAGGTGTCTAATTCTTTAATTGTTCTTCAATAGATTGTGTCGTCAAGCTTCTATTTTTAGACGCTAACAGTGAAACTTTGACATTTCTGAACTGCTCAATTTTAACCAGCGAATGGCATCAATCTGCCCTTTCAATATTCTTCCTGTTTTCATCACTCTTCTGTTCTGTCCTTCACTTATGCTGGGGAAAATTACAGATCATTTCTACAGTATGAATGCGAAGCTTGCAGGCGATTGCATGGAATAAATGGCAGTTCATAACTGTCATATTAACTATTTATGTGAGTAATCAGAGTCTGTCTTGTGAACAGTGGCAAGTGGAATAAATAAATACGACGGAATACATTAGACATGACAGCATGATGTACAATAGACATTATCACGGTTGGTGTTAATGACCCTCAGATGTTTGGTGGAATGCTGTGCATTTAATGAGGTCTTGGTATGCAGTGCACTACTCTAGTCTTCTGTAACACAACTTTTGAAAGTTACTGCATTCACTTCTGTGTCATGCAGGCTTGCAGGAATTTTGCCTTTTAAATTACGAATAAAAAAAAAGGAATATTCCGGGTCAAATCAAATTAAACTTAATTGACACATTTTGTAACCATGTTGATTAGAAGAAATACATTTGGCTTCTTTTTTTAAAGCAAAATTCAAGGTTACAATGAGTCCCTTGTAATGGAAGTGAATTGGGACATTTTTTGGAGGCTTTAAAAGAGGAAATTTGATGTTTTACAACAGCACATTCATTTTTTCAAAATATATGTAGTTCTGCTGTCAAAAGCAGATAGTTTTTATTAAGATTTATTTTTTCTCTGCTAAAATCATGGTAACGTGAATATTGTCTTGTTATACTATTGAGTATTTTTACGTTTATGCATCAGCCCCATTCATTTCCAGTCTAACTGTATATTTTTTTTCTTTGTTTTAAAGAAAAAAAAGTATATTCTCGATTATGTCTTATACTGAACCCTGGATTATTCCTTTAAATTTAATTGGGTTAACCTTAAATCAAGACGAGTTTACTGCTATTCTATAACATCAAGCCATAAGAGGAACGCACGAGTAGCAGTAAATCCGCATGCCACTCAAGCGTCTATGTTGTCTCTCAATATTTAAGACACCACCATTCAAATCCATTGTAACGACGAGCTCCTTTCCTAAGGTAGCCATGGTGATCACAAGGGCATCGACCGATTGATAGAGATGCTCTTTGAGCCGTCAGGAATAAAAGAGGAGCAGTTTTGAAGAGGCAATGTGGGGTGATGGAGGAGGGATTCAGGCCTGAACAAAATAAAATGCCCATAGAGAAAGGACTGCTTTCAGAGGTAGAGAGGGGTTGGTCTAATTTGCACAAAGTCTTCTCTTTCTCAAACCGGAGCTGACAGCAGACGTTTTTATCAGAGAGGAACAACTTGCATAGAGAAGCGCATTCATTTCAATGTGGAGTCCTTGCCAGGCACAATGGCCCAGCAGGATGGAACATAGCCGTCCTTTTTGGAAAATCAGAGTAAACATTATTCCGCCTTATTTATTTGCCTTAGCAAACAATGTGCCCACGGGAACTAAACGTGGCTTTTAGATGTAGGCCAATTGTTCAAAATACAGGTGGAAATTTGATATTTTAGCCAAGCTGGTAGAGTACATTTTTGTGTGAATTCTGGTTATTGAGGATTGCTTTGGAAAAAAGTTCAACAAAATGTGTCCTCATGAGAATGACATCAGTGACACTTGTTCACCATCTCCATCTCCATGCTGAGACGGGCCAAAATCTCACAGGATCTGAATCCACACGTCATTCCTCCTGGGAGAACATGCATTAATAAATCATGTCTTTCCATTTAGTGGTGAGATGTGTGTGTGTGTGTGTGTGTGCACATCATCTCATTAGAGCAACATTGTTCCAGTTGCTCATCAGTGACTATTGAGATTACAGTTTGGACATTCATTTGGACTGATTCAAATTGAAGTAAACGTATCGGAATATCTTATTTTTTTCTGGTCAAAAGAACTATTACAAAAAAGATTGAAGAGCAGTTAGCAGTATCATTGATGCTTGATCAAAATGGAGGCCTAGGAAAACACATTCATGACTGAATCAAATGTCGTTTTGTCAGTTTGATGGAAATTTTCCCACAAAATTGAGAGAAAACTTTAGTTTGACTGTGATGGTTCCATTTTCATTAGAGATGCTGCCTGCAGCTCCTGAGATATACAGTGGAAGGGGGTACACTGTAAATGATTTCTGTTGTTTTCACAGGATTATACTGTTTTTCTCAACAGTTTCTTACTGTATAATCTATGTACAGTAAGTTACAGTAGATTTAGTTGTTTTCACAGTATTAAATTGTTTTTTCAACAGTTATGTACTGTGCACACAGTTGACAGTATGTTACTGTAGAATTTCAATGCATTCTGGGAAATTATCAGTTACTGTTAATCTAAATACAGCAGTGCAAATTGACCGCGAAAAACACCACACACAGTTCCAGGGGTAAAA